CTTCTTGTGACTTGTTTTATTGCACTGCTCGCTTTATTGCAGTAGTCTGGAACACGCAAAATCTCCAGGGTGTTGTCCGTATGCTTTTTTGAGAAGTGTGAGCCTTTCGGGATAGAGTCTTCAGGATTTTCTAAAATTTTAAGAAAGAGTATCTTACTAGAGAACAACATTTGATAATCAGTTTCAGAGTATAAATTTAGTGTTTTAAACCAGCCATTTTCATCTGCTTTGGGTTTTCTTATAATGGTCTACCATACCTGAAAATCGGTGGATTTGAGTCATCTATGTGTTTGTCTATTGACTGCTCCGTTATTTAATCTTAGCCTTATCATTCTGCTGACTTTCCTTTTATGATCTTGTTCTGAGCCAATAGCTGAGCAAAGCTAACACAAGATACTAATGTCATTCTGCCTTGAGGTCTTACTGTCATGCTCTGCAGTACCCCACAGAGCTTATAAGAAGGCTGTTCTTTACCTTGGTTGTTTTTTTGTTTGTTTGGTCAGTACCTCATGGCTTGTGGGATCTTAGTTCCCTGACCAGGGATTGAATCTGGTCCCTCGACCGTGAAAGTACGATCCTAACCACTGGACCTCCAGGGAGTTCCCTTCTTTAGCTTGTTCTTAAATCATCTTGGATCTTTGCTGTCTAGCTGGTTGTAACCATTAAGTTACATGTGGATATTGGGCACTTGAAATGTGGCTGGATTTAATTGAGATTATATTATTAAAATTGGTTTCACCTATTTCATTTCACTTTAATGAAGCTAATAGAAAATTTTCAAGTATGTGGCTTATAATATTTTTATATTGTATCTCTTTTGGATTTAATAATGTTAGGCAAAAATCACAATGTGCAAGTAAGAAACACTTTTCTCCTTAGCATCTGCACCAGGATCTTCTGGAGAGCAGGACTCAGAAATATATGCTCTTGGATTTCCAGATTTCCTGCCCAAGATTTGAGTGAAGCAGGAGAGTGATGTTAGCAAATACTTTCAGAAGAAAGCAGCCAAAACCCAGATCATGCATCAGAGAATACTTTGACCATGTTGATTTCCCAGGTTGGTTAGATTTCTGTAAAAGTGTTAACATTTCATTTCAGCCTTTCAGTTCTCAGACATACAGATTTGTCATCATGCTCGGACTAGTAAAACCTCTTCTAAAAGCTTGTTTTGTTTGAAGGACTAAGGAGCAGGAACAGATGGGATAGGCTGTAAAAGTAGACTCCTGTTTGGCAGAGGACAGAAATTACTCTAGAGGACCATCATCCCCCAAACTGCTTCCTGCTTCTAAAGGCCATTCTGCTTCTTGTTGGCAGGAACAGAAAGTAAGGGGTTGCATAAGAGACCAGAGCTCTGTCACACCGGATTTTTATGAACTTACCTTAACCTGTGTTGTTTGACTGAGCTTCTTGCGTGTATACGACAGGGGATTCTTGCCGTCCTATACTTCTGCTAGTCCATACAACTCTTTTGTATGAATGAGGGAAAAATGCTCCTTTCTCAAGTTACTTTACTGCCATCTGTTGGAAAATTATTGTAATAAAAATGCAGATCTGTAATGACTATGATATGAATGATGCTTCCCTCCAGAGTTGTTCAGTATACAGCCTGCTCAGCTGTATATGGTAGCCCTAGGACCATCCCAGGAGTCCACTAGTCACTGAGTGGGCTGAGAAAATCAGTGTTTGAATAAATCTCAGTTCTTGAGTGGCATACCAGTGTCTTGGGAAACCAGATTCTGTGCTCAGGATTGAAGCTTTACAATCCCAGTTATTCAGATGAGCAAGCTCAGGCATAGAGAGATTAAATAATTGGCTCACGGTCAAAGGTCTGTTAGGTGGCTGAACTGGCATTTATTTCAGCATAGGCCATGAGATTCCAGAGCCTAGGTTCTAAACTTCTAAACCACAGTGATATACTCCTCTTGCAAACCTCTGTAACCACACTGGGTGCAGCAGTTTCCAAGCCCTATTCCTGTGTTTATCTGAGCACACTCTGAGGTAGTGTAGACATCTGCTCCTGAGTTCTTTGGATGAGGTTGTAGTCTTTTTTAGGTCTTGGCAAAGAAAGAGGGATTTGTGCTTTTTGTCAGAACTTGCTTGAAGTAGGTGCTCCCCCTTCTTTACCGACCCTGTGGCTTTACTTCTTCCCACCCATCCTCTCCATCCTTGAATTGCAGGATGGTCAACCCAGACCGCCACCAGCTATGTCCTTTGTCCTAGTTTCTTACTCTTGTAGGTTTCTTTCCCTTTGTGAAGGCTACTAGAACTTCATCTCCAGGACTACCCCTCCTTCCTTTTCTGTCTGTTCCTTTCTTTAATCCCACCTCTTTTTGAACCCTTAATTGCTGTTCCCCACTCCAACATCATCTCTCATTTTCGCTCCAAATTTTTTTACCTACCATCCGATTTAGAAAGAAAGTGCCTCAGGGCAGGGATTGCCTTGTTATGTTGTGAACCAGTGTCTAAAGTGCTCCATAAATTAGCATCTGTGGAGGGTTTTGCACATACTAATTATTATTATTGAAATACAGAAATGCTTTCTGAACCATGAGGAAGCATCCTATGACTGTAGTCTAATTGCCTGTACACGTTTTCTGAAAAAGAAGAAAAAAAGCCTCTCTTCCCATATCAGAGAGCCATCAGATCTCAGAACAGCAGCCAAAATCTCAGGACTCGTTCAGGGCTGTTGTTTCAAAGCTTTTTTTATTTATTTAGAGAACCATGTTTACACGATAGTAAAATAAGTTCCTGTTGGTCAGGAACAGGTCAAAATTTACTTGTTTGGACAATTTATGCTTTTTAGAAAGGTGGGAATGACCCTGGAACCACCTTTGGTTTCCTTTGGCCCAGAATTGTTATTTCTTTACTGATATTTATGGTTAAAGCCAACAATAATCATTTCTCAGGAGGTTTAATGTAAATTTCATTTGTATCATATTTATGTTGATGTTTAGTGCCAGAGTGAATCAGCATTCTTATTAGCATTTTATAATGCAGATGGAGAGGCTTTTAAGACTTGCTGAATTTTAATGTAGACATGTATGTCAGAAAGACCCCTTTATAGAACTGTCGATCCTTTCCAATATATGGTTTGAGAATATACTTCGAAGCGTGGTTAGTGAGACAGAGTCTATCTAAATAACTAACTTTAAAAATCTCTATATTAGAACTTTTTGGCCTGGTTTTCCTGAACGTCGGATTTAGTAAGTATACTGTGATTAATAATTTAATGAATGTTCTTTCTTAAAAGAAATGCTGGTCAGAATAAATTCAATGATGTTAAAATTATCAATTGAAGTTACCTGTAAAGTCTTCAATGGAAAATACTGGTGCTTTTTCAAAATAGTAGTGCTTGTTTATTAGTCATACAAGTGTCATTGTCTGATAAGAGTATAATAACAAGGCCTTACTTTATTATCCAAAGGTGTATGGTCATAATTGATGCATTGGATTATGTTTAAGATAAAATCATGGGATTGCTTTTTATCCTCACCCACACATTTTGCTTTCTGCAGTAGTGTATTCCCCACCCTAAGACACAGTCTTTTTAGGCCTAAGTGCTCTTTCCTATTTTCAGGCTTTTGATGATTAACTAATGAGCAGGTTGAATTGAAAAGCAAACCCAGCTCACTGTAGATTTTTAGATGATTAACTCACATTAGGGTCTAGGTTGTATCCTTTCCAGAGAATTTAAGGGTATCCTACTGCTCTAGAAGTGGTGGACTTTATGCCTTTAAAGATAAGACCCAGAGATATGCTATCAATGTGCTGGGTCAAGTTACAGGTTTCAAGCTGCTTAAAATCTGAGGATCATCTGTTTTACTGGTCCTCAACTCTGTACATTAGAGCATCCTGAGGAGCCTTTTTAGAAAGGTTCACTGTTGAAGAGCTTTTTAAAGAAAAGCTCCAGTGCTCATGAGTTAGATTACAAGCCATGTAGACGACAAAGAGGGACCACCTGACATTGTCATTGACTTTGAAGTATTTGCCCGGTAATAAAACTGTGTGACAGAGCCACCTTCAGTACCTTCCACATTACTCATGTTGAGGAGAGACTATACTGTCAGTCGTGACAAAACTGTAGTGTCTGTTTGGTTACATGGTAAGAGGCACCCCCTACCCAAGCCAGGACTTGTTCAGTTTATGTGTGGGGAAAGCTTTTCAGCTGAAGTTTTAATTATCCGTAGTAGACAGAGCAACTAAGCATGTTTAATTAAGCACTTATTAAATCAGTTTTTCATGATGATAGTGAATTTTAGATAAAGGTACAGAGAGCAGTCATCATTCCTTTTATAATTAGTTGAAGCAGAGGGGTAGGAAGAGGTGCAACTATCATCCACATTTACTTGGAAACTGCAGTCCAGGGACCCGTTTATTAGGCGTTAAAAATACAAAGGTTCATTCTGTGCCTTTGAGAAAACTGTTATTTTTTAATAAAGGAGATTGTGTATGTGTGTGTGACCCTTGAGACTGATTTGTATATTTGGTTTTTCTAAATGTGAAGCTTAATAAATATACTTTGATTACCACTTCAACAAATATCCATGAGAAGCAAATAGCTAAGTCAAATTATACTTTAATATGTATTTATATGTTAATATGAAATGTGTGTATATTGTGAATGGCTCCATGCAGGGTAGTGAATTGAAGAGCTGTATCCAAATGAGTAACACAGACAGAAAGTACGGCCTCACAGGAAATTGTGAGATTAAGTGAAACAGTTGATGTGAAATGCTTAGCACAGTGGTCAACACACAGTTAATGCTCAAAAACTCTTATTATCCAATATTATTGTTCCACCACTATTTTATGACTTCAGAGGCAAGTGTGGACTATGGGTTAGGGAGATCAGGGAAGGAGGAAGGCATAATTTAAGTGATACATATGGCATCTCTTTTATTTAAAATATTTCTGGCATAAGACTTGGGTTGGTTATAGCAAGTACTTTGGAAGGTGTAATATATGAATGCATATTAATGATATGGTCTCTTTTGTTTCAGGAACTTTATATTGCTGTAGGAATATCTGGAGCCATCCAACATTTAGCTGGGATGAAAGACAGTAAGGTAACTACACAACAGTGATGATACTAAGAGGAAAAGTTTTCATATTTTAAAAATTAGGTTTCACTGGTATGCTTCCATGTAGTTTTAGTGTGTGTGGTGGAACCATTCACAATAACACAAATCTAGGAATTTAAAGGTATAGACACTACTGTACCCTGCCTGAAGATGTACCATTGGTAGGAGAGGCAGTGCTGTATCATGGAAAGAGATATGAACCTGAGTCCCAGCTCCCCTGCCAACTTACCACCTGACATGTCTTGTTTGTACCTCAGTTCTTTGTCTGCCAAATGCAGGTGTTGGAAGATCTCTTTCAGCTCTGACAATATGTGGATAGAAAATATGGGGTGAAAACAACTTGATGAGGTTCTGACTATCTAGTTTGTGATGTACTGATACCTGTTTCACCCTAGCCCCTAACGGTCCCACTGTCATATGTCAGCAAGGCCCGTCTTCTTGGGTTGTTACTAAATTGTGACTGACACATTTTGGATTGGAGCACCTCAAAACCTTAGTAATTGTCAAAAATGCAGCATATACAGGAGCCACTTGATTTTAACTTGCTGCTTGGACTCTATCTAGAAGTCCTGTGTGATGACTCTGTGAACATACATTTCAGAATATGACACATTAATTCATGCATAACAATGCACAGTTTGAATTATGAACTTAGTCTTTCATGAAGTCAGAGATGCCTCTGACACGCCTGCTTTTATTCATTCAGATGGAAGTTTGATAGAAAAGGTAATAAAACTTTTAATAGGTTTAACTTCTAACTTGAAAAGATGCATGCACTCCCTCCTTGTAACCTCTAAATGAATTGGCCCCAAACCAGTCAGATTTCACAGTTGGATGGCAGGTTTCTTCACTGAGCTCTGAAAGCAGCAGTGCCAATGGGGAAAATGTTATTGCTGCATTAGAGGGAAAAAAAACACTAAACACCAGCAGTCTGCAAAAATATTTTTAGCTGGGCCTGTTCAGACATATCTAGAATTTTGCTTCTCTCTCTGCCTGCCTAGAAGATCTTGTTCATGCCAGCAGGGCTGAACTGGAGGAGAAATGGACTAGATGGTATATGTCAAAGCAAAAAGGCAATAATTGAATTAAGGAGACCCGTGTTGGGGAACAATCTGTAAGAATAAACTTGAGCCAATAATTTGTCTGTCTTTCCGGTCAACAAATATTTATTAAGTCTATGTACTTTGTACAGATGCTGGAGTTGCTTAAATGAAAAAGACATAGTTCCTATCATAACTCTTTTGTGGGAGACACACCAGTCTTAGATTGTAATTTTGGCTAAGTTCTAAAATGGATGATTGGGACTTCCCTGGTGGTCCAGTAGTTAAGAATTTGCTTTCCAATGCAGGGGACATGGGTTCTAGCCCTAGACAGGGAACTGATCCCATCTGCTGCGAGGCAACGAAGCCCATGTGCCACAGCTACAGAGCCCAGCTGCCGCAACTAAGACCTGAGGCGGCCGTGGATAAACTGGTTGGTATAAATCTGATAGTTTAGTGCAGTCGCTCAGTCGTGTCAGACTCTTTGCGACCCCATAGACTGCGGCATGCCAGGCTCCCCTATCCATCACCAACTCCTGGAGCCTGCTCTGCATATAAACTGTATACCTATTAATATGGTTGAATACAGTCTGTGCTTTAAAATGTCCATAAGGAAGAAGAATATGAATTTATAAGGACATATTAAAAGAGCCCTAGAGTGCAAGCAAGATTTTATCATAATTATTTGCAGTTGATATTTCAGGAATATTCTTTCAGTAATCTCAGAATTCTGTAACTGGCTGAAGTCTTTTTTCTTAAATACTGTAGTGGTTCTTTGCCCACAATCACATGCTTTTTCTTTAAAAATAACTTATATAGTGGGATGAAAAAGCTTTCAGATGATTAAACTGTCAGATGTTTGACTAGGTGGCCTCCAGGAAAATCATTAACCATCGTTAATTAAATAAATCTCTGCTAGTAGCTGTGAAGCAGGCTACTTATTCCCAGAAGAGAAAGACCACGATACAAATCAATGCCTATGATTCAAAATGTTTGTCCTTGTGACTAGATTTGAGGTGTATATTGAAACCATGCTATATTATAGTCTTTGACCACACTTTAATATATATGGCATGCTTCTATGGATCAGTAGTTACTTGGACTGCAGTGTGTGCCAATTTCAGATATTCTGGAATATTCAGGCCTCGGGGCCCTTTTAGAGGAATTTACACATATATCATATAGGCTATATTTTAAGTCAGACTGTATCAAAATACTTGAAAAAGGTGTTCTGCCTGTTTTCATGAGATGGAGTAATAGGCAGGGAAGTGCTTAATTTTACTTCCAAAGATTCAAAAATTATCATTTTTTAATTAAAATAACACCATGTTAGAGTCAAAAGTCTAATTTTACTTTAATTGCAGTGGTGTTAGAAGCATCTGTGGGGAATACCAGACTATTTGTAGTGTATAAAGAAATCTGTTATTAATAGAATAATTGTGTAAACATAACACGTTTTTTAGGACAGTTTCTACGTAATCTGTTACTGATTTGTCATTATAATCTTACATTTAAAGATTTTATGGGAGTTAAGAGGAACTTGTGGTAGTTTTTGTAGGAGACATAGTACTTTGTTACATTTATTTGCTGCATACATAAGGACTTAAACTTTTTTGTTTTAAACATTCATTTTTACTTAATTGGCCAACTAGATAGTTAACTTTTCTATTCTCACAGTAGACCCAGGATAGTAATTTTAAAATGCTAAATGGAAAGCAGTATATAGAGAATAAACAGTTTGAGCTTTAAAGCCTATGAATTAGGATATGACTTTGTTACTTTTTAAAGTTGAAATCTAACATTTATAGTCACAAGTTTAAAACATATTTATTGTTAATAGGTAGAAAACTACCGATCATTTTATAAGTGAAATACGTTAAGAATTGACTCTAATAATATATATCTCATGATTTGACAAATCATGAGATTTGACTTCTGTCTTATTGAATAAAGCACACCAAATATAAAATGGATGAATGAATTTTTTTATCTGTGGTTTTTATTCAGTACATCTAAAATTTTTCAATGACCTACAAAAATTTCCTGTTATATTTGGTTGGTTTGGTTTAAGTCAGATTGTTAATTTATATACAGAAAATTCAACATTTTTAGTATACTGCATTAAAACATTCTTCTGCATGGTAAGATATACATAACATAAAGTTTACCATCTTAATCATTTTTAAGTATAAAATTAGGTATGTACACACTGTCATTGGTATTAAATACATTCATAATGTTGTGTACCCATCATCACTATCCAACTCTACAACAGCTTTTAAAACTGAAACTCTATATACATTAAATGGTATTTTCCCAGTCTCCCACCTCATAGTCCATATTCTGACAACCACAATTCTACTTTTTGTTTCCATGATTTTGACTCTTCTAAGTACATTTTGAGTGGAATCATCATTTGATATTTGTCTTTTTGTGACTGGTTTATTTCACTTAGCATAATGTCCTCAAGATTCATCCATGTTGTAGCATATGTCAGAATTTTCTTCCTTTTTAGGCTGATAATTTTCCTTTACATGTGTATGTGTGTGTGTGTGTGTGTGTGTATACATACATACCACATTTGGCTTATCCATTCATCTATTGATGGACTCTCGAATTGCTTCCAAGTTTTGGCATTTGTGAATACTTTGCTATGAACATGGGGGTACAAATATATTTTCAAGGCCCTGTTTTCGTTCCTTTTGGGTGTATATCCAGAATTGGAATTGCTGGATCACATGGTAATTCTATTTTTAATATTGTGAGGGACTACTATAATGTTTTCCACAGCAGTTGTACCATTTTACATTCCCACCAACAATGGACAAGGGTTTTAGTTTTTCCACACCCTTTTCAGCACTGGTATGGTGGTTTTTTTTTTTTTTTGACAGTAGCCATCCTATTAGATCTGAGGTGGTATCTCATTGTAGTTTTGATTTGCATTTCCTCAGTGATCAATGATGTTGATCATTTTTTCATGTGCTTACTGGCCATTTGTATGTCTTCTTTGGAGAAGTGGCTTTTGAAGCCATTTGCCCAATTTTTGAATTTGATAGTTTGGTTTTTTGTTGTTGAGTTCAGTAGTTTTTTAAAAATATATTCCATGTAGTAATTCTTTATCAGATACATGATTTGCAAGTATTTTCTCTCATTCTCTTGGTTACCTTTTTACTCTGTTGATAGTGCCTTTAGAGCCACAAAATTTTTAAATTTCCATGAAGTTCAATTTGTCTTTTTTTTGTTGTTGCCTATTCCTTTCATGTCATATTCAAGAAATCATTGCCAACACCAACCTCATGCAGCTTTTGCTCTGTGTTTTTCAGCTGAGAGTTTTGTAATTTTAGGTCTAATGTTTAAATCTTTGATCTGTTATGAGTTAGTTTTTGTATATAGTGTTAGGTAAGAGGCCAACTTCATTCATTTGTATGTAGATATCTGGTTTTCCCAATACCATTTGTTGAAAAGGCTATCCTTTCTCCATTGTATCATCTTGACACCCTTGTCAAAAATGATTTGACCATATATGTGAGGGTTTATTTCTGGGCTTCCTTTTCTATTTCATTGTTCTTTAAGTCCCACTTGAGGTTCCTTGAGAGTCCGTATGAAATTTAAGATGAGTTTTTCCGTTTCTGCAAAAGTAACTATAGGAACAGTTTTGATGGATATAGTATTATTGGTCAACAGTTTTGTTCTTTTACTACTTTGAATGTATCAGCTCACTTCTTTCTCACCTCCAAAGTTAGTATTGTAAAATCTGCTGATAGTCTTGAGGATCCCTTGTGTGTAGCAAATCAATTCTCTTTGTTTTCAAGATTCTTTTTTTATCTTCAGCTTTTGAAACTTTGATTATGTGTCTTAGTGTGGAGTCTCTTTTGAATTCATCTTACTTGAATTTTGTTGAATTTCTTGGATGTTTCTGTTCATGTCTCTAATCAAATTTGGGGAGTTTTCAGTCATTATCTCTTTAAATATTCTCTCTGCCCCCTTCTCTGTCTCCTTCTGGGACCACCATAAGATGTTTTGGTCCTCCTAATGGTGGTCCACAGGTCCCTTAGGCTATGTTCACTTTTCTTAAATCTTTTCTTTCTGTTCTTCAAGCTTGAAAATTTCCATTGTCCTATCTTCCAATTTGCTGATTCATTCTCCTGCCTGATCCAATCTGCCTTTGGATCCCTCTAGTGAATTTTTTGTTCACCTTTTGTACTTCTCACCTCCACGATTTCTTTGTGGTTTCTTTTTGCGTTTTCTCTTTATCACTGTTTCCATTGCATTCACACATTGTTTTCCTGACCTTCTCTTCATCTTCTTTTAGATTTTTTTTTCAAGCATCTTTAAGATGATTATGTTAAAGTCTTTGTCTAGTAGATATACCAGTTTCTGTTTATATTTTTTTCCTCTGAGTGGGCCATACGTTTTTCTTTTTTTGCCTTGTGATTTTTTTTGTTGAAAACTGGACATTTGAACCAACAATATAGTAGATTCTTCTATTTCCCCAGAGTATGCTGGGTTTTTTTGTTTTTGTTACTGTCTTTGTTTATTGTTCTTATCTTTTTGATTGTTGTATGCTGTCTTTGTGCCAAGTGTTAACCTGAGGTATATAAACTTACTGGCTTCTGGAGTCTTTCCAGAGTCTGTGCCTTTCCCTAGGCATGTATGGTCACTTTGTAGTTTTCCTCTGATATGCATTTGCTTTTGAATGTCCTAGTCATTAATGTCTGGCTCCCACAGGGGGGAAATGAAAGAAAATGAGAAAAATGAAGAGCACTTATCTTTTAAATCCCCTGGGAACAACTTTGACAGGTGGGGGAAAACAGTGGTTGAGGTGCAGCAGCAATAGCCACCCCTTCTTTGCACCTTTCTGATCAGATGCAACACTCTGTGGTCAAAGCACAGATCCCCAATATTTAGAGGAAAAGGTTTCTTTTACCCACTCTGACTGCTATAAGCTGTATGCAGGCTGTTCCAGGAATATGTACACAACTACCTGCCACCAGGAATGAGAGGTGAAGGTTTAGTAGCAACTATTCTGCTAAGAGCTACAGTTTACCATTCAAGCCTTCCCCTGAAAGTTGCAAACCTTTAATAGATTCCAGAATTCCAAACTGGTTACATGAAAGATTCTGCCAGTTCAGTTGTTGTGTAGGTGGGGAGACAGTTTCTTAGTGTTTCCTACTTGGCCACCTTCCCAGAATCCTCTCTGATTTGTTACTTATCTACAACATTTTTTCATAAGTTAAAAAAGAACTTTTAAAAATAATGATATAAAACCTTTTTTAAATATTGCAGTTGGCCTGTGGTAGGGAAGGAAGATAATTTTTTGTTATATTCCTACCCAGAAACTTCTAAATTTACAATATCAGCGCAAATTAAACTAATCTTATTTGGTAGACATTTTTAAGAATACAAATTTGTTGTTAAGAAAGTTAGAATAGAACCATCAGTCTGGGTAGTATGTTTTCTTAAAAAACTCTTTGCTTTTATTTCACAGACAATTGTGGCTATTAACAAAGACCCAGAAGCTCCAATTTTTCAAGTGGCAGATTATGGAATAGTTGCAGATCTATTTAAGGTAAGTTGGCCTTGAGAGTGATAGCTGTTATCTAGGTTGTCATCCAAGAACCTGCAGGAGTTGGTCAGGGAGGAAGCTGTTATAGGAAGACATTGTGTGACTGTATATCTGTGTCTGTCTGTGTATGTATATATTAATATATTTACATAGTTTTGAACTATTTAAAGTGAGGAGTTGTTCTGCTTAATATATGATATTTTTATGGATCATTATATTAATAACTTTTTCTTTAAGAAGTCCATGTTGTCTTTAAACATCCATATGATTCTTGGCATCTCATGTACTAAGTTAGTACACAATATGAAATGACTCAAGTAATTATAATAGAACCATATTTACCAGATACCTTAAGGAAATTCCCATCATAACCCCTCATTCAGAGACTTACTAGTGATGCTATAGCTTTTCATGGGGTGAGTGGGCTCTCAGGTCCACTTTATCGACTCAACAGGTATGCTCTGCTTGCTGTGTTTGAGAGTCAGAGGCCTTCCTAACAGTGACAACTGTAGGAAAGAACACTTATTTCTAACTCCTCACACTCTTAATATTTTTGTGTTCTTTCTGTCCTACTACCACCCTTATGTTTGCCCTCTCAGTGAAAGAATTACTTAGTGATATAGTTGAGTACCTGATATCCATTTGGCCGCATTTAAAGGTCCTAGCTTATGCGTGGGCTGGCCTCTTTTTGTCCCTCAGGGCCTGTCTACAAGTTTCTAGGTTACCTTGTGCAGAAATTACTTAGGCAGTAATTGAGGCTCTGAAAGTAGCATCCAACGCTAGGTTTACTAACCTGTCATGTAGATCTATAATGAGCTTCTGTGGGCCTTTATGGAGAGGCTGCAGCCTGAGAACAGAACCAGGGGTGGTCTCCCCAACTAGAGGACTGGCCCATTGCCATGGCTTCTGTAGCGCTTGTATGATCCAGATGAACTCATGAGTGTACTTTGAGAGCACATCTGTATTTTGAAGTGTGTGCTCATGCTCAGTGAAGAATGGGCCCTTCGGATGCTCAGCAATTACTTGGTGGTGGCCCAGCCTGCGTGCCAAGGCATCTTTCCCTGTGGAAACTCCCGCCACCCTCCACTCCCCCGACACACCCAACCCAGAAAGGCCTCTCTCTTGCATGGGAAAAATACAGCCCATCTTCTGTGGTCCTGGGGTTCTGTATCTGAAATGTAGGGTTTAGGTACGTTAGTTGCTCCTGTGACCTGGCCCAGCTGTATAAGAACTGTGACTGTAGTGGTAGTCATTTGACTAAGATATTCCAGTGGGATGAAAAGTTACTATGAGAAAGATAAATATTTTTGTATTTCTGTGTAATAATACCTTTGTTCAAGTAGAAAGCATTTAGTTACAGTGAAATATAGATAAAGGAATAAAGACCTTTAAATTTAAAAATGAAGTTAAATACTTGCTGAACCCCAACCATGTCTCCTGTTGACATGTTTGCAAACAGACATCAAATGTAGTTGCCTTTTATTTTTCTTCAAGACAATATTTTAATAAATTTGTAAGTAATTTTGTTTAAGATATGTCTTCCTGTCTGCTTGTGTACTAAAGCTGCCCACATACTTGATCAAAGAAATGAAGTGTTAAACAGTCAGACGTTTGTGATGTTCGTACTGTGGACACCTGCCTTGGGGGAGGAGCATCTCTGTAGCAACGATGGATGCAGTAGTGTCCCACAAGCTGTGCCTCTTGCATTAAGGGCAACTCCTAGATTTAACATGAGAGAGTATGTGTGTGTCTGTTATGTGTGTCTGCACACGTGTGTGTGCATGCTCAAAGAGATATTGAGAGTTCTAGGACACTGAAAGTGGAAAAGACCTCAAAAATCATCCAATAAGCTGATTTCCAACTTGAGATTCTCAAGTTATTTTTGGTGTTTTAAGAAGCACACTTTAAAAACTTTTTCTGAATTTCTTATTGAGATAACAGCTTTATAACATTATATAAGTTTCATGTGTACAACATTATATTTCTACTTCTGTATACCCTACAGTGTGCTGACCACCAAAAATTTAGTCTTGCCTCATCATCATATACTTGATCACCTTTAGTCACTGTACCCTCCCCCCCAGCCCTTTCTGCTCTGGTAACCACTACTCTCTTCTCTGATTCTGTGTGTTTATTTTTATTTGGTGTGTTCATTTACTTTGTTTTGGGAGGGGCTGTCTTTTATATTCCACATGAGTGAGCTTGTCTTTCTCCTTCTGATTTAGTTCACTTAGCATAATACCATCAGGGTCCATCCATGTTATCACAAATCGCAAAATACTATTCCATTGTATACCTATAGACCACATCTTCTTTATCCATTCATCCATTGATGGCCGCTTAAGTTGCTTACATATTTTGGCTATTGTAAATATGCTGCAATTATATCTTTTCAAGTTAGTATTTTTGTATTTTATGGATAAAAACCCAAGAGTGAGTGGGATAGCTGGTTCATGTGGTAGTTCTATTTTTAATTTTTTGAGGAATCTCCATACTGATTTCCAAAGTGGCTGTGGCAATTTGCATTCTCACCAACAGTGCACTAGTGGTCCCTTTTCTTCACATCCTCACCACCAACACTTGTTATTTCTTACCTTTATGGCCATTCTAACAGAAATGAGGTGATACCACATTGTGATTTTTCACTTGCAAGTCCCTAATAATTAATGATGTTGAACATCTTTTCATGTGCCAGTTGCCTTTATGTCTTCTTTGGAAAAATGTCTGTTCACCTCCTCTGCCCATTGTTTAATTGGAGTGTTTGTTTTGTCATTGAGGTATATGAGTTCTTTACATATTTTGGATATTAACCCCTTATTGTATATATGATTTGCAGGCATCTTCTCTTGTCTCATAGGTCGTCTTTCCATTTTGTTGATGATTTCCTTTGCTACGCAGAAGCTTTTTAACTTGTCGTTTGTTTACTTTGCTTTTGTTTGCCTGAGGAGACATATCTAGAAAGATGTTGCTAAGATTAATGTCAGCAAACTACCTGTGTTTTCTTCTAGGAGTTCTGTGGTTTCAGGTCTTACAGTCAAATTTTTGATCCATTTTGAATTGATTTTGTGTGTCAAGCTTCATTTTTTTGTCTGTGACTGTCCAGTTTTTCCAGCACCATTTATTGAAGAAATCGTTCTTTCTCCATTGTATGCTTTTTGTTCCTTCATTGTAAATTAATTTTATTTCCGGTTCTCTATTCTCTTCCATTTATTTGTGTATTTGTTTTTCTGCCAGTACCATGCTATTTTGATTACTATGACTTTGTAATATAGTTTGAAATCAGAGACTGTGGTACCTTCAGCTTTGTTCTTTTTTCTCAGGATTGCTTTGGCTCTGTGTGTGCGGAGGGGGGCCCTTTTATGGTTCCATGCAAATTATAGATTTTTTTGTTCTATTTCTGTGAAAAATGTCCTTGGGATTTTGACAGGGATTGCACTGAATCTGTAGATTGTTTTGGGCAGTATCAACATTTTAAAAATGTTAATTTTTCCCGTCTATTAGCATGGAATACCTTCATTTATTTATGTCTTCAGTTTCTGTCAACAAAACAAAACAGGGTCTTAAGGTTTTAGTATACAGGTCTTTCACTTCCTTGGTTAAATATATTCTTGGGCATTCTTTTTGTTGTGATTGTAAATAGAATTGTTCTCTTAATTTCTCTCTCTGCCGATTCATTGATAGCATGTAGAAATGCAATAGATTTTTGTATGTTGATTTTGTACCCTGCAACTTTGCTGTATTCATTTATTATTTCTAATAGTTTTTTTGGTGGTGTCTTTAGAGTTTTTCACATATCAAATTATGTCATCCACAAATTTTTAGTGACATTTTTACTTCTTCCTTTCCAATTTTGATGCCTTTTTTGTCTCTTTCTTGCCTAATTGCTCTGGCTAGGAATTCCAGTGCTATTTTGAATAAGAGTGGTAAGAACAGGCATCCTTGTCTTGTTCCTGATTTTAGAAGTATAACTTTCACCAAGCTTTTCACCACGAAGTGTGATATTAATGGGTTTGATATGTATCACCTTTATCATGTTGAAGCACATTCTTTCCATATCCACTTTATTGAGAATTTTTATCATAAATTGATGTTGAATCTTGTCAAGTACTTTTTCTGCATCTACAGAGATGATCATATGGTTTTTATCCTTCATTTTGTTAATGTTGTGTGTCACATTAACTGATTTGAACCACTGATATTGAACCACTCTTGCATTCATGAAATAAGTCCTACTTGATCATGGTGTGTGATCCTTCTAATGTATTGTTTGATTTGTTTTGCTAATAATTTTGTTGAGGATTTTTTTATCTATATTCATCAGAGATATTGGACTCCAATTTTCTCTCTCTTTTTTTTTATACATTGTCTTTATCTGGTTTTGCTATTAGGATGTTGTTGGCCTCATAAAATGAGTTCGGAAATGTTCCCTCTTCAATTTTTTGGAATAGTTTGAGAAGGGTGGATATTAAATCTTTAAATATTTAGTAGAATTCACTTGTGAGGCTATCTGGTTCTGACCTTTTGTTTTCTGGGGAGCTTTTTGATTACTTTGAGCTTTTTGATTCAATCTCTGTACTAGTGATTTGTCTATTCTTATTCTCTATGTTTTTATGATTTAGTCTTGAAAATTCTGATTCTAAGAATTTGTCCATTTCTTCTAGGTTGTCCTATTTGTTGGTATATAGCTATTCATAATATTCTTTTATAAGCCTTTGTATTTCTGTGGTACCCATTGTTATCTATCCTTGTTTGTTTTATTTGTCGGAGCCTTCTTTCTATTTTAGGTGAGTCTAGCTAAAAGTTTGTCAATTTTATTTATCTTTTCAAAGCACTAGCTCTTAGTTTTGCTGATCTTCTCTATCATCTTTTTAGTCTCTATTACACTCATTTCTGCTCTGATCTTTATTATTTCCTTCTTCTGCTGATTTTGGGCTTTGTTCTTTTATTTCTCCTTTGATTTTTTTCCATTGGCTCAATAGTTGTTCAGTGACATGTTGTTCATT